TCTCTCTCTCTGGGGACTTCCAGCTTTTCTCCTTCCCACAGATCTCTCTCTCTCTCTCTCTCTCTCTCTCTCTCTCTCTCTCTCTCTCTCCTGCACTCATAACTGTTCCTGTATTTTCCCATTTCTCATTCTTCCTCGGGAGCCAACCCTTTGTCACGCCAACCCCCTGCTATCGTCCACAGCTCCTTACATGACACTTTTCCTAATCAAATGACTTCTGCCTCTGTGGTTTCTGCCTCATGACTAGGCCCGGCATAGGCAGTCTTAGTATCCCGGAGCTGCCACCACAAAGTACCACCAAGTGGGAAGCTTGTCGGAATAGAACTCTGTTGCCTCACAGATCTGGAGACAGAAGAGTAGTCTGCCTCTGGGAGTCCGCCATGTTGATTCCTTCTGAAGCCCATTCCACCCCGTCTCCAGGCTCCCAGGGGCTCCTACAGAACCTCACAGAGCCCCTTGGCTCACAGTTCTGACTCCTACAATCTCTGCCTCTGTCCCAGGGCTGTCTCCCCTCTGTCTGTTTCTCTGTCGCTCCTTCTCATTGATAGGAGTGTCCTATAACATTCTCTGAGTCAGAATCCAGTGAGTTTTATGTTCTGTATGATTCAAGAGCCCTGGTGGTGTCGTGGTGATGTGTTAGGCTGCTAACCACAAAATCAGTAGTTCTAAACCATCAACTGTCTGCGAGAGAATGACATTATCATCTCAGACACCCACAGGGCCAGTTCTAGCAGCCTGTCCTAGAGGGCATCTATGAGTCACAGCAGTGAGTTTGAATTTCTTATATAAGATTGGGGCCCACCCGACACCAGAGTGACCACATGTTAACTGACAAAACTTTCAGAGACCCTATTTTCCATCCAGGGCATGTTCACCACTCCAGTGGGTTAGAACTTCAAGTTGTCATTTTGCAGGACACAGTTCAGTCCCTACGTTGTTCAGCTATAAGCAGGGACCATTTGTTGGATGGCAGGGACAACAACTCAAGGGGCGGAGCCAAGAGCCCAAGGATTCTGTGATAGTTACATCATCTGGAGTCAACTTGCGAAGGGGTGGAGTGTAGCCTGTCAATCAGGTCACAGCTTGATGACCTCATTTCGAGGTCCCAGGGAGATAAATAGCTCACTGGAAGCCAGATACACACAGACTCTGTTTTGTCTTCCTGCTGACAAGACACATGGAGCTAAGCTAGAGCCCTGGAGCTGGAGGAGCCACATGGAGACCCACGCCAGCGCTGAGATGCTTCCACCACCACTGGATCCACAAGACTTTCTACCCGCTGGCCTGTGATCTTCCTGAATTCAGTATCATTGCATGACTGTGTGAGTCTAAAGAGGAATTTATGGACTAGTATCAACATATAGGCTAAAATCAGACTTTTAGACTTGATCTGGACTAAGCTGGGATGTTTTCTTAAGGTACTATTGTTCTCCGACATACAGTTCTCTCTAACACATAGATGAGTGTCTATGAATTTGTTTCTCTAGTCAACCTGGACCACACTGAGTTAGTTAGTTGTGCCAACCTGTCCGATAATCACATGTGGGGCTAATTGAAAGGCGGAGGGATAAATGGGTGGTAAAGCCTCGCCTTTCTAGTTCTCAGGTCTCTTGCTTTGTGATGGTCGCACCAGGTGCAGCTGCCTTAGCAGTTCCCTGCTTCAGCTTGCAAGATTGACTTCCTACAAGACATCCCCAAGGCGAAGCTACATGGACCTACCCCGATGCAGCCCTGGGTGCTGGAGCAGCGGTGTGGAGACCCCTGCTAGTGCTGAGATGCTTGTTCATTCACTGACTCAGCTTTCCTCCTGCAGTCGGCATCATTGCCTCTGTTTTGTGAGGTGGAGGACTTTGTGGACTGGTGTTGGGTTAATGGGTTAATGTTGGACTTGTGGGCTTGGGCAGCATTGGGTTGGGATATTTTCATGATGCACATTTTCTTTACATAAAACCCTCTCTTATACATGAGTTGCTGTGGATTTGTTTCTCCAAAGTACCCAGACTAATACAGAGTCATTGCATGACTGTGTGAGTCTAAAGAGGAATTTATGGACTAGTATCAACATATAGGCTAAAATCAGACTTTTGGACTTGATCTGGACTAAGCTGGGACTATTGTTCTCCGACATACAGTTCTCTCTAACACATAGATGAGTGTCTATGAATTTGTGTCTCTAGTCAACCCGGACCACACCAACGCCATGGGAAACCATACTGACAAAGGCTTAGAGACCATTCCGGGCATCAGAACCAGCCAGCTCAAGGACTATTCCTGTCGCCCAGCGTCCGGCCAGCATTGTGGCATGGAGAGGAGAGGAGAATGCGAGAGTGGCCACAGCCTCGCCCAAGTGCTCCTCTCTCCTGAAGCCTTTGGAGCTGACCCTGACCAGAGTGTTCCCAGGGCCCTCCCTCGTGGAGTCCTCCATGGCAGCAAATGGGCTCCCAGGTCTGGAATCCTTCATCCCTGACACCTCCCCAGAGCTAAGACCTGCCCTCTGGGTCTGCCCCCGAGCCAACTCCAGCCCAGCCTGCAGCCCCAGCCCCACCAGACCAGGTCTCTCTCTCCCTTGGGCAACCCCACCATCCCATGGTGAGGAGGCCTCCCCAGTCCCCTCTTTCACACAGCAGCCAGAGGGATCTTTCGAAGCCATGGGTCACACGAATCTCATCATCTCTCACCCTCCAACACTCCCTCTGTGTGGCGAGAAACCAGCTCTCTCACAAATCAAACCAGGGTCTCAAGGGGCACAGTCCCAATTGAGAAAGACAAGAGAGAAGATAAGGTTGGGGCCCAGGGGGCTCCTGGAGCAAAGGGACCGCAAGGCGCAGAACTTTATTCAAGGCAGGCTTCTATACAGCTCTCGTCACGTGTCCTGCATCCCGGTGACAAGTTCTCACACACCAAGGAGGTCTTTGAAACTGACCGTTTCTTGGAAGGCAAGCAAAGCAGCCATAACCTTTCAGCCAATCTGTGTACAGTCCGGAGGGGGTTGGCTGGACAGCGGCAGCACGCTGCGTTCAGCAGTTTCCCGGGAGCTGCAGAGAAAGTGTTCGTCTCAGTTCAAAGTCAGCTCGTCGTGTCTCGGCTCCCTGGGTTTGAGTTGCTGCCTCTTTCCCACAAGCCTTCCCTAGGCCGTGGAACAGGGTGATGGGCTTCTCTTGAGGGAGGGAGGGAGTGACAGACCATCCCATAAATGCATCCTGTGACCCGGGAGTTCCTTCCTGAGAGCCCATCTTAACCCAATCTGCTCTCACATCCCTCCACCGCAGGGATGAACCTAAACTCTCAACTCTGTTCAGGGCCAGCCCATGACCCTTGACCCCTGACTGGGGCACCCTGACCTAGGGGTCTACCAGGCCACCCTCCACTCCCAAGTGACTGGCCTCTCCCTCCTCCTCCACCCCTCCAAGTCCTTCCCATCCCCACCTCTGGCCTGTTGTCCCTACTGTTCCCCTCTGGTCTGTGTGGGGTCCTCCTCCCACCAGCCAGCTGGGGCCTTCCATAGCATTCCACAGCACCGCCCCCCCATTCCTTCACCCCGCTATATGCACACCCGAACCTGCCTCACTTATTTCCCTTCCTCTTTCCTGCGCCCACTCCACCCCCTAGCACCCACCCATGCTTGTCCAATGACTGACTGGCCTCCCTCCACGCCCCTTACAAGGGCCCTATCATTGCACAAATGGAATAGGTACCGTCCTCTGTGACCTGCCTTCCTGCTCAGGGTCTGAGCTCTGCCCTCACAGGGATTGCACCTGCCAGGGGGGGCCCTCGCCTTCCAGAAATTTCTTGCAGCTTGAGCCCACCCCTGTGTCCTCTGCACGCCCCCACCCCACCCCACCCCACCATTCTCCCTAGCTCTTGACCTACATTCTTGGTGGCCCTTGCACCCCTCTGGGAGCCCGGGTAATGTTATGCATTGGGCTGCTAACTACAAGGTCAGTCGTTGGAAACCACCAGCCACTCTGTAGGAAAAAAGGTGAGGCTTTCTGTTCCCAGAAAGTTATAGTCTCAGAGACCCACAGAGGCAATTCTGTTCTATAGGGTCACTATGGGTCACAATCAACCCGATGGGAGTTGTTTTTGTAGCCCATGCTCCTCAGTTCACAAATGGACCCCCATCCCCCATCCCACTTGGGACCTTCCCACAGGACCCCTGGCTCCCCGAATGGTTCCCAGGAGGGTGCCACGGGGCTTTGTGGAGGGGACCCCTTCCCTGCTTCCCACTTCAGTCTCCACAACTCCTCGTTCAGCAGGAAGAGGAGGGCTTCTTCCCGAAAGTCTCAGATGCTGAAGTGCCCCACCTCTCTGTCGGCAAGCTGGGAAGCCTCTAAACATGGCCCTCAATCCTGGCTGTTGCTCCTGGCTGGGTGCTTTGGAGTGCATTTCAGAAAGACAGGAGCCAGTTCCCGGGGGGCCCTACACCACCAAGTGGGTCGGACTGCTGGGACCTCCACCCCCGGGGGATCATCAGAGAAGAGATCTGGAGCCAGCAGGATCACCACTCTGAGTTCACAGATGAATTCAGAGATACTGAAGGGTGAAGTGATTGCAGGCTGCCCCAGAGGCCTCTGGGGCTACCCAGACTGGGGACCGGGCAGAGCCTGGGAGGAAGACCCCAAAAGTCTGAGAGAACTGTAAGGGTGCCCTTACATGAGGGTAGGGTTCTTGGCTCCAGCCCACTTTGCACCCCCCAAAATAAGCCACACAACAGCCACTTGTGAAATCAGTTTTATAACGAGCTTTAGAAACCTAGATTCCTTCTCGAGTACAATCATATAAAAGCATATAAAAATATTAATAACAACAGGCTGAGAACTACTTAAAAATGTACAAAGGCGTCTGTGCACCGTGAGGGGTCAGTTTGCAGCTGTGAGGTGACAGAAGTACCAGGACAAGGGTGGGCAAACCTCTGAGCCCTGACCCCAAAGCACCTGGTACCCTCAGGGGCACAAATTGGCCTGCCTGGGTCGAGAGGGACAAACAGGGCCTTGGGGGCCCAGAGGCGTGGAGGGGCCCCCAGTCCTGTGTCTCATCCAAGGGACTCCAGGGAGCAGAAGAAGGATGCTGGTTGTGGGGGGGAGACTAGAACACCCCACCCCCACGTCCTAACTCCTGGAAGCTGTGGGGATGTCCTAGTTCAAGGCAAGGTGTCAGTGCAGAAGACCAGGGAGTCCTGGTGGGGCGACACCCTCAGCTGCCACTGGAAAGGTCAACTGTCGGGATGCACCAGGAGCTCCTTGGGAGAAAAACACATGCTGACGGCTCCTGTGGACACCGGAGCTGGGAAACCCCAGGAGAGTGCTACTCGTTGGTCCGACAGGGTCGCTGTGAAGTAGAATCCGCTTGGGAGTTGGACACCTCACTGCTGCGAGGTTTTCCAGTAAAATCAAGGGAAGACCCTGGGTGGTCCAGGAGGGCCCAGAGCATCTATAGAAAGCAGATGAGAGGGCAGAGATAGAGTGGCGAGTAGGCTGGAGCCCCTACTTCGGGCTTTGCAGGAAGGGTCCCTGAGCCAAGGACTGCCGGAAAAGGCGCAGTATAGATTCTCCTCCGCCCCCTCCCAACTTGCCCTGTGACCCCACAAGTCTCTGTCTCGCTAGGGGCATCTAGTGACCTTTCCAAGCCCCAAATGAGAGCTCTCTCATCTGCCTTCCTCTTCCACACGCCTGTGTGGCCAGCTCACCGTGGCTCTGGGCCGCAGGGACAGGGAGATGCCACAGTCCCAGGAGGTGGCCAGTAGGTGTCCTGGGTTCCTGGGCTCTAGCCACTCTCCCTCCTTTGGCCTACAGCCACACACATACACACACACACACACACACACACACACACACACACACACACGCTCATGCCGTAAACTAAAATTTACAATGTTCTCTTCGGCGTGGCCTTATTGGTGCCCTGAAACAAGGCTCCTGTCCACACAGGACAGAGAGACATGGGGGACTGTCCAGTCCCAGCCACTCAGAGGCCTGCATCTCAGCCAAGGCTGGGCAGCAGCAGCAGGAAGAGGTCTGTGAAGCCGTCGAGCGGTGCTGGTCTGAACAGGTGGCCCCAAGTGCAGTGGCCCACGGCGACCACGGAGGCTCCAAGTAGGTCCGGTCGCAGGAAACGTTAACCAAGCTTTATAAGTGAAAACAGGGTGTGGGAGGACTCGTGGAACTCAGTGTGGATGTCCAGGATGCTCCGGATGCTCCGGGCGTCGCTGCTCGACAGATTCCCCTTGATGGCCAGGATGGCGCTCAGGTGGTCCTTGCTGGCAAGGAGAGGGTCGGTCAGCCCAGGCCAGCCACTGATACCCGATCCCTCCTCCACCCAGCTTTCCAGACTCTCAGCCACTGCCACGGGCCCTGAAGACAGCCCCCTGCCAGCCACATTCTAAGCCGCGCTGACCCTTCCGGTCCTGGAGCATGTCAGCCTTGACACTGGCTGCTCCCCTGGGAATGCTCTTCCCTGAGCTCTGCAGGTGAGGCCTTTCTCACCTTTAGGTCTCAGCTACAATGCCACCTCCCCACGAACGCCGTCTCAGCTTCCTGCCTACAGTCAGCACCTCCTGTGAGTCATACGCTGGGCTACAGCCCTCCCGGCCTTGCTGCTTGTCCTCAGGGGCCTGTAAGATACCTGAGGGAGGACTGAGACCAGGCTTGTGGCACCTCGTTGCTTCTCAGTGGCTGGGACAGAGCCTAGCACTGAGCAGGAACTCACTAAATAACTGTCCGTGGGCAAGGTGAGTGGGTAGACAGACAGGTGGGTAGAGGGATGGTTGAGTAGAGGAATGAGCGAGTGGATGGGGAACTGGGTCCCTCTGAATGGTTATGAGTGAATGGTAATGAGTGGGTGGGTGGATGAATGGCTAGTGGGTCGGTAGGTGGATGGGTGGGTGAGCTGATTGGGTGGATGGACAAATGGAGGGTGAGTTATGGTCAGTGGATATGGCCCTACCAGCCATAATCCCTTATATGATACATTATAACTCTAGACTTTATACACCTGTGACTATAATCCCATTTTGAAGAGCATTCTCTGCTAACAGGAAGCGCCTGAGATGAAGACCTGACCTTAGGAGAGCGTGTGAATCGGACCACACTCTTGGTTTAATGGATTTCTTGGTTATTATTACTTGTAACGGATGTAAAGAATGATATACTCTAGCTGCTTCTGGAGTGGCCTGGGGGAAAACCTGGCTGACTAAGATTAGTAGGAGGCCCATGCCTGCCGGTACTACCTTGCCAGAGGCCCCCGGTCCTATGTGGATAAATAATACCTTGCCAGGGGCCCCAGTCCTATGTGGATAAATAATACCTTGCCAGGGGCCCCAGTCCTATGTGGATAAATAAGGCACAGTCCAGGGGTGGAGAATAGGTTGCTGTATTTGGGTAACATTGAGAAGATGAAGAGTTATATGTTCGTTAGATTGCAATCTTGATAGCCGATGTAGCTCCCACCAAACGACCTTCACCTGCAGACCTGCACCTGCACGGGTCTGGTTAGAAGGTGAGGGAAGATACTGACAGGACCCGCCTGGGAGTCATTTTGACCAGGAGTCTTTGCAACGCCATCCTGCTGCCTGAAAAACATGCCCTTGGAGAAGCCAGGGTGTGAGCTCATCACTAGCAAGAGCAGGGAGTGGAGGGGATCCTCTGGCCCCAGCAGCTGGGTTACCCTGGTCTGACCTTCCGATACGGGGATGACCAGCACCCACCACCACGAGAGACGGTTCCTCAAGCTTTAGCCTGCCCCTGCAGTGTTGCAGTGTTGCAGACCTGAGAAACGTGAGTCTACTCACATTTGAGTGTGGACATACTCAGGGGAGGAGTGGGGAAATGGAGCAAATGAACATCTTGGAAGAATGGGGCGTTTGGGGTTTCTTCAATCCCCAACTCCTTGGGACTAGTTTGCTCTTATTTCTTCTAAAAGAGATTATTACCACAGGTGGGCGGCTGACGGCTAGACAGATGTATGCAAGGACGGGTGCTTCTGCAGGTGGGTGGGTGAATGTGTGAGTGTGTAGGGAAGTGGGCGGATAGTAGGTAGATGGAAAGGTGAGCTGATTAGAGGGGTGTGTGGATGGGTGGGATGGATTAGTTAGGAGCTGGGCTGGCTACAGTGGATAAACTCAACTCAAACATCTAAACTTCCCTCTTATGTCAAATGGGCCAGCCTAATGAGAACCGCTACCCTACCCCTGCCCCCCCAGGCCCTCAGGCCATTAGAGGCTAAGTCTCCACTCCCTCAGAGAGGTCACCCGGTTGAGCAACATTAGCCACAGGCCAAGGTCAGCTCCACCAGGTCCCTACTTTCTCTGGCTTTGGTTTCCCCTCTGAGTGGCTCAGAGTGGGTTAAAGTTCAGGACCGCTGGCTTGATGGTGTCAGCTCTGCCGCTATCGAGCTATGTCCCCAGGGCCGTGCCCCTTAAGCTCTCCAGGTCTGGACTGCACCAGGAGACCAAAAAACCTGGCCTCCAGCAGCTCCAGTGAGGCTTGAACCGGTGAGGTTCTGACCGGTGTCTGAGCTCCCCGTGGGCCCTGACCTCCAGTGAGGCTGCCCACGGACAGCAGGGCCTCGACGGACCCTGCTGACTGTCCAGATGCTACGGCGGCCCTCAATCTCACCTGAAATCGGGGTAGCAGGCAGCATAAGTGGCCACCTCAATCTTGATAGCGCTGGGGTCTTGCAGACGAATAATCTCAGCCAGCTTGGGGAGGGCGGGTTCCAGCCAGGTGGCGTGGGAGCCCTGCAGACACAGGCCTGGATGTTGGGAGGCTGCCCGCCCCACGGAGACCCAGGGCCCAGGGGTGGGGTGGTGCTTACGTTCTGCGTGCAGAAGCTCTGGATGAGCTCAGCACTCTGGTGGATGTGTCCTGCCAGGTGCTGCTGCTGCTCGGCCGTCCGGAGGACCAGGCGCCGCTTGCTCAAGCGGACGATGTACTCCTTCACCAGGTGCAGGTGCACCATCTCCATGAGCTCCTGGTGGGCAGCAGCGAGGAGTGGTGAGGTCCTCATCAGTGGAAGCTCACCACCCCTTCAACTTCAACTTCGAGCTTCAACTAAGAGGACCTCACCACCCTCAGCCATGCCTCCTGGCCCACCCACCCCGAAAGGGGAGGCCAGGGAGAGGCAGGGGCCACCTCCAAGAAGCACATGTAAAGAAAAAAAAAAAGAAGCAACACATGTGTGCGTGTGCACGTGCGCGTGTGTGTGTGTGCATGTGATCAGTGTCAGAGCCGGCCCCACCATCCTGCCAAGAGTTTACCATCCACGTGTGTGTGTGATCACGTGAGTATCAGACTGCCTGTATACTCAGGGCCCATGTATCCATGTGCTTGTGTGTGTGCACATGCATATGTGATCTCCTGGGTGTTGTGCTGCCCCACCTACACGGATACCAGCCAAGTGCCCATGTGTGGTTATGTGGGTGATCACATGGGTGTCAAGCTGCCCTGATATGCCCAGCTATGAGCCCATGTGAGCATCCACATGGGCACTTGTGGGTAAGTGTCTGTGATCATGTAAGGCCGTCCCACCTGCCCAATCACCAGCCTCACACCCACATGTGCATGTGCTCTTGTGTGTGTGGAGGGGGGTGGCTGCCATACCACTCATTGCCTATGTATGCACGTGTACATGGTTCATGTGTGCATGTGTATGAACATGTGTGCGTCAGGCTGCCCATACCCAGCACCTCTGTTTGGGCTCATGTGTGTGATCACATGGGTGTCAGGCTGCACCCAGCACCCATGGGTGGGCATGTGCATGTGTGCATGTGATCGAGTGGGTGTCTGGCTGCCCCAACCACCAGCTCAGTGCCCACTCACCTCCTGGTAGCAGTCCTGCAACTCTGAGAATTCCGGCAACCTCCTGGCCACGGTGGTGAGAATTTGATCCAGGATCTCCATGGGGGCTGCCCAGCGTGTCTGCGAGAACCTCTTGAACAGCGGCTGTGACGGGAGAGGCAGGATGCCGGGCCAGGTCAGGGAGGAAGGTCCGCCAGACAGCCACAGATCTTGAGACAGACACACCTCCACCCCTCTCCCAGAAGCCAAGGGGGGGCGGGTTGGGGTGGCCGGAAGATCCAGGGAACCCGAGGACTCCCAGGGGTATCCAGGGGTGGAGACTCGGGAAGTGGAAGCAGCTGTGTGTCCTTCTCCAAGGTCCCCGGCTGGAGTGCAGAGGCCCGCAGCAGTGGGCCTGGCCAGGGCCCTTTCTAGGCTTCTTTGTACAAATACATCCCTGCCAGGGCCAAGTCCTTCAGGGTCAAACCTGGGCCTCCACCACCCACCAGCCTCAAGCTGGGCATCATGTTGTCCACAGACTCCCACCCTGGGCACTCAGATACAAATGGGCACCAACGAATGTCGGAAGAAACCACCTCCTCTTCCTTTCGGGACCCTACCTCAGCTCTCTGCCAAAAGACCTGTGAGGTTTCTACAAACTCCTGATGGCTGCCTAGGGGCACAGAGCTCCCGGGCTGAGAGCTGGCGAGAAAGTGGCAGGTGGGCAGAGCATTAACGTGTGTGCAAACTTGAGGCTGGGCTAAAAATGAGGCTAAGGTATGGACACAGGTTCCCCCATGTCCCTATATCCCTGCTCCTCCCAGCCCTGGGTGGTCCCGCTGAGGCCAAGCTCACTCAGGACATGCACAGGGGGACTCGAGTCCAGGGCCCTCCCTGGCTCCAAGATCACCCACTGTCACCAGCCTCACGCCAGCCAGGCCAGCACAACCCTTTCTCGGTGCAGAACTCCCCCCCAGCCACACCAAGAAAAAGGGGCCCAGTCACCTTCAGATCTGAGAGCAGGTTCTGGAGCAACGCGTCAAAGCCATGACTCTTGAGCTCGTTCAGGGGGCCCAGCGCATGAACGTGGATGTGCTGCAGTGTTGGCCACCTCTGCTCCATGGATGTCCTAGAAGGAGGAGCAGGGAGCTCATGCCAGCCCTACCCCCGCTCCAGCCCCACACCCAGAGACTAGCCCAAGATGAAGCTTCCTAAGAAATCTTTTACACCCCATAGCCTTGGATGCTCCCATGTCTGTGGCTTCAAGTACTGGCCGCCCCATCCGTGTCACCCTCAGGGGCAGTGACTCCTCTCCCCACAGGGTGGCCCCTAGCTTGGTCATGAGATCGCTGCACCCACTCTGAAGGTTGTGACCAGGGAAGTACCTCACAGGGGCTGGGCACACAGCCCTTGACAATTGTCCCCACACCAGCTATGCTCTGTTCCTCACATCTCTGCTGAGGCTGCGCCCACCCCCACTCACCACCCTCTTCCTCCTCCCCTCTTCCCTCTCTTCCCACTCCCCGCCTTCTGGCCCCTGGCCACCCTCACCTGAAGGAGAGGCAGTTGTTGATGTTGGCGATGATGTTGGCGATGACGTTGGCCTTGTAATTTCTCATCTGTCTGCACCTCTCCAGGAATTCGTCAAAGTCCCGCTGGTAGCTGGCACACAGGTAGGAGCGTATTTAGGACCAGCCCACACAGACACCACCTGCTCCCCGACCTCAGCAGCCCGGCCTTCCCAGCCCCTCCCAATTAGAAGACAGTTGTTGGGGGCGGGGGGGAAGGCTGTGGCAGGTAGGACCCCAGGGCACAGTCAGGGAATGGGAAGGGGGACAAGCTCCCATTCCCCAGGAATGGATGAGTGGATGAACCCTCTTTGCAGCCTCTGCAGTGGGTTTTGCTGGAAGCAGGGCTGAACAGAGTCGCCGGGAGAGCGGGAGCCGCAGATGGAGGTGCCAGGGACAAGTCGCCTGAGTTTAGTGCCCAGGAGGGAGCGAACAGGGGGAAAGGGCAGACAGATACCCCGAAGCAGCAAGGTGGGGCTGATCTAGCTTGGCTGCCCCTCTGGGACACTCACCGCCTGAGGAATCCAGCCAGTTCCATCAGTAGCACCTGACTGGTCTGCATGCCTAGCTCCACAGTGATGCCCTTGGCCTTGTCTTGGCTCTGAGAGATGATCTGCAGGGGACAGGGGGTGAGCCGGGGAACAGGACAGGGTGGGGGGTGGGGTGGGGTGGCACCTGGCACTGGGCTGCTTGGGCACCATGTGGCAGGGGACAGACTGGGGTACCTGGATGGTGTCAATGGCAAGCTCGCTGTGACAGTGGCCATCCAGCCTCTGCGGGGGCACATCCTGGGCCCAGCGCTGGGACTCTAGCTCCAGGGCCCGAGTCATCAGCTCATTCACGTTGGCCTAGGGGTAGGGGACAGGCTGGTCAGAGGGCCTGGCCTCCCAGGTAGCACTGAGCCAGCTCCCTGCACAGTCATCCGTGACAGCCTCTCTCCTCTGCCTGCTGCCCAGCTAGGAAGGGCAGCTGAGGAGTAAGGCCTCAGAAGCCAAGGGACTCTGGGCCTGGTTCCTATTCACACCTTGCCTGCTGACACCCAGCTGCCATGGCCTATGCCCTGCCTGTGTTCTGCCAGACCTCTGCCTCACTGCTTGTCATTTCAATAGCTGGTCTATTTTCTGCCTGCATCCGGTCTGTCTCTAAGTCCCCCCTGGCTCCAGCCCCGATCCTCCCCTCCCACCCCCTGCCTGACTCAGGACTTACCACCTCATTGGACAGGAACGTGGCTTCTAGCAGCCGGATCTGCCTGGGGGGCAGGAGGCTCCCCAGCCGAACATTCTGCAGCTCTGCTGCCAGTTTGGGGCTGTTGATGATGTCACTGTGGGCAGACAAGCAGAGCCCCCACAGCTGAGTCCTGCAGGCCCAGAACTCAACCCTTCAGCCCCTTACACTGCTTACTCTCCCCATCCCCCCACCTGACTCAGGCTAAACCTGGGGTCTCATCCTCCTCCCTCAGCCCCACCCCCGCCCCTAAATCTCCCCTGAAATCCACACCTCCCACCACCCACGTGCTCATCCCTCCTGGCTCCTCCTTGAGCTCCATGCCTCAGCCCTGACCCTCAGCCGTGCCCCCTCTACCCGGCAGTCAAGGCCACCTTTGAAAAGGCGGTTCTTGAGAATGATGGTGGCAACATATATACACATGTGCTCGACACAATGGATGATGTATGGATTGTGATAAGAGATGTAAGAGCCCCCAATAAAAGTATTTAATTAAAAAAAGAAAACAAAGAGAAGGCAGTTCTGCTATTAAAGCTCCAGGCTTCTCTCCAGGGGATCAAACCCACCTCTCGGCCCACTTGGCTTCAGCATCCTGCCAGCCCAGAAAGCGGGCCAGTCTGACAGGAAGGGCAGCCTCTAAGCTGGGGTGTCTCCACTCAGTCTGGCAGCACCTCTGCAAGGTCCCAAACTTGAGGATGGGGGGTGGAGGGGTGGCCCAGTTCTGGCACTTCCTAAGTGCCCTGTCTGTCTGGGGACTTAAGAATGGCCCTTCCTGTGTCCCTGCCTGCAGGGCATCCCTTTGTAGCCCCCACTTCTGGCATCCCTTTGTAGCCCCCACTTCAGGCTAGTATTGACAGCACCTCCCCAGACACTACCCCCTCTGAGGTCCCAAGCTCAATTTGGCCTCAGCTCCCTGCTCTGCTCACCCCACTAGACTCTGGGCTCGGGGAGACTGAGGTCACGGGGTAAGGAAGTCAGAGGGCCGGGTGCCCAGCACTTCCTGGTGAGTCAGGGCAAGCAAGAAGGAACTTGTCTGGGACTGGGCCATGTCCCATGGCCCCTGCCTGGCATCAGAGTTCCCTGTGCCCTACTAAACCCTCACCCTGCCTCAGACCTTCTACCAGCAACTGGCCATCAGCACCAACTGTGCCCATGGTCTGCATGAGTGTGTCCGAGCCACTCCACTTAGACCCTGTTGACCCAACAAAGCCAGAGTCTGCTTTCTCCAGACTTGCTCCCAGGCCTGGGCTTTTCCAAGGAGTTCAAGTCCCCTCCTTCCACCTGTGAGAATGCTTGGCAAGTACCAATGTCCAGGCGACTGGGTACAGGGGTCAGAGAGGACCCTGCTGGGGTCCCCAGTGCCTCCACAGGCTGTATCACCTCTGCCTGGAGAGTTAGACTGTGAGGATCCCTGGACTGCCCTGTGCAGCAGGGAGCTTTCTAAAAACCCACGTGACTTGTCCGCTTCTGGCTCCCCTGCCCGGAAAAATTCAAGCACAGTTCCCAGAATTCCCAGAGGCTGGGCATCCTCCTTAGAGTAAACTGGCTTTAGGACCATGAGACTGTGATACCGCCCGCTCAGTGTCAGCTGGGCTCTGCGGCCTCCTCTCCCCGCCCCCTCCTTCTCTCCACTGGATTCCGGGCTTCCCTGGGCTCCAGCAGCAATTGTCCTCCTGTCTCTCCTCCTGTTCCCCAGATTGGGGGTTCAAGAAGTATTAATTCCATAAATAAATGATGGGGTCCCTGCCATCCTCATTGCTTCAGTCTCTGCAGGGGGTGAATGAGGCTGAGCTCCTCTCGAAGACAAAAAAATTAAGACTCCCACGGGCGAAAAAAGCACATCCCAAGCCTGATTTTCGGTTCAGGGCCTGCTCTGAGAATGCTCAGGCCCTGCCCCTTTTGTTCCCAGACCCCCGCCTCTTGAGCCTAGTCCCTGCCCCTGCACTCAGACCCCTTTACAGGCTCCCTGCCCTGGACGGAGTGATGGTTACACAGTAGGCTGCTAATCACAAGGTCAGCAGTTTGAAACCACCAGCCGTTCTGAGAGAGAAAGACGAGGCTGTCTGCTCCCCTAAAGAATGATAGTCTCAAAAAGAAAAATTTTTTAAAAGAATGATAGTCTCGGGAGAACTCACAGCGGCAGTTCCACCCTATTCTATAGAGCCGTTTTGAGTCAGAATCAACCCGATGGCAGGATGGGAAAACCGCCTGCACCCTCAGCAGACGGCGCTGCCAGTCGGCTCAGGCCCCGCCCCGTGCGCCTAGGCCCCGCCCCGTGCATCCAGGCCCCGCCCCGTGCGCTTAGGCCCCGCCCCACGCCGGCTCTCACTTGGGGTAGAGGTTCTGCACCCAGAAGAGCAGCATGTAAGTGTCCCGCTCGCACAACTCGAACTGCGCCATGGCGGCCAACTGGGCGGCGAAGTACTCGTGGTAGCTCTGGGCGTAGGCGGCCACCACGTGGAACTCGGCGGGGAAGAGCGGCTTGAGCCGCTCCACCACGACCTCCAGGTCCTCCTTCATGGTGCGGCCCAGGTGCAGGAAGGTGTTCTCCGCTTCCGATGAGCCCTCGCCGCCCTTCGCCGCCGCGCGCGCGCCCAGCCGCTCCTCGGCCGCCTGTGCCACGCCGTGCCGCCACAGCTGCAGCCAGCGCCGCGGGCGGGCGGCCACCAGCGCCGAGGCCCCGGGGTCCGCCGCCGCCGCCGCCGCCAGGCGGTCCTCGCGCTCCTGCTCGGCCACCACAGCCAGCGCCTGGCGCAGCCGCTCGGGCGCCGCCTCCAGGGGCCGCCGCAGCACGGCCAGCACCTGGTCGCGCAGCAGCACGTAGAGCGCCTCCACCTTGCTCTGCTGCCGCACCAGCTCCGCCTCGCTGGGGCCCCCCGCCGCCGCCGCCGCCGCTTGCAGCTCGCGCTCCAGCGCCAGCAACGGGCCCGCCGCCTCCAGCCGTCCGGCCTCCAGGTCCGCCTTCAGCTCCTCCACTGCGGTCAGAGCAGCCGGTTAGCCACGGGGCGCCCACCCACTCGAGGGTACCACCCAGAGGACTGAGACACCCCCTCTCGATCCCCTCCTCCTATCTGTTGGGGGTGCGGGCAGATGAAAGTTGACTTCCTGTCTGCTGGTGGCCAAGAAGTGACCTGTCCACTCTGACCAGCCCCCAGCCCACCTGGGCCCCAGCCCACCTGTAGGGAGTGGGCCGCCTGGCACAGTGCTGGCCTTGGGGTGGCCTTGGGGCTCCACAGCCTTGGGGTGGCCCTTGATCTTCCCCTTCTTGAAAACACGGAGCATATTGCTCAGCCCTTTGGACTTCTTCTTCTCCTTCACTGCCTCCTCATCCCTGTCTTGGGCTGCCGCCACCTCCAGAGACAGCGCTAGGTCTTCCGAGGACGCCTCAGACATGGAGGCCTCGGACTCCGCCTCCGATGTGGAGGAGGGCTTCTGGGGGCTTCTGGGGGAGTGGGGCGACGCTGGCATTGCCCGCTCGCCCGGCAGTCCCTGGAAGAAGGTCATCATCTTCAGCATCTCACTGGCTCAGGCCTGCAGAAGGGAGAGGACAGTAGGGAGAGGTCAGCGGCCTCAGCGGACAGGCTCCAGCGCATACCACATGGCAAGACTAACCCAGACACCCACCAGGGCCCAGGTGGACACCAGCAGCCCATGTCCCTCCCAGGCCACCAGTATCACTGACTCAGTCCCCCTGCCCTTTAAGGTAGCGGTTCTCAACCTGTGGGTCGTGACCCCTTTGGGGGTCGAATAACCCTTTCACAGGGGTTGCCCAATTCATAACCATAGCAAAATGACAGTTATAAAGTAGCAACAAAAAGAATTTGATGGTTGGGGGATCGCCACAACATGAGGAACTGTATGAAAGGGTCGTGGCATTAAGAAGGTGGAGAACCACTCCTCTAAGGCAAGCCTGGGAAGTGGAGATAAGACCTCCAGATGGGGCTGATCACTTCATGTTGGCAAACCCTTCCTTGGCAGCTCACCCTCTGGGCAGGGCAAAGGGGGATGCAGGCTGCTGGATCCCAACTGATCCTGCCCAGTGAGGCCTGGTCCATGCCAGGATCATGGGGACCCATAGTCCCACCTGTTCTGCCCAACTGGCTCTGCTCCTGCCCTGTCACACTGGGAGAGAGCAGGTGGTCAGAAGCACAACTGCTCCTGCTGGGACCACGAGGGAAACTGACCCCAGCCTCAGGGCTCACGCTCACTGCCATTGAGCCAACTCTGACTCACAGTGACCCTTCTAAGGCAGGGTAGCACTGCCCCCGTAGGTTTCTGAGACTATAACTCTATGAGTAGAAAGCCTAATCTTTCCCAAGAAACAGCTGGCTAGTGGTTTCAAACTACTGACCTTGTGGTTGGCAGCCCTATGTGTAGTCCACATACCACCAGGGCACCGCCCCACAGAAACCACAGCACTAGCTCAGACAGGGTCATACTTCAGGGGCCACAAGAGGCCTTGAGTACCCTTTCATGTAACAATGCGACAAAGGGCTTCATGAAGCCCAGGGCAATTCAGGGGGTGCACACAGCAGCTGGAGCCAGAAAGTCCGCCTCCCCAGGACCCTACCCTGTCAGCTCTGGCTTGGAAGGAATTTCCAGGGTGCCTGCCTCACCCCATCCTCACTCTCACTGGAAGGGCTGTTATTTTCCTCGGCTTACAAACTGGCCCAGAAGCTTCAAATATTCCAAGGGTCAATGGCTTAAATTTGGAACCCAAGTCACCGCCTCCGGAGGCCAAGCTCAGTCCCTGCCACCTGGAGCCCTACTGTGCCAGAAGCTTTGGCCAGAGAGGCAAGACCTCATAGGTCACCCTCGAAGGTCACCATCTTCCTGCCCCACCTCCCTAGAAACGCACACAGCAAGCCATGCCTCTTGCAGGGCAGTGACAGTTGCTTAGCCACTGTTCTGAGAGGCAGTTGAGATGAGCCATAATTTAGATAGGGAAACCGAGGCAGGGTGGGAGCACCTTGCTTCAGGCGCACAGCTCCGGTCTTCTCCACTAGCCAGGCCACCGTCCCAGGTGAGTGCCACATGGGGGGCCTGTTCCTTACCCCACCCCTGTTGGCCTTGCCAGGTAGTCTGGTTAGATCACTGGACCTCAGCTACCTCTTCTACCCCTTCTGGACCAGAGTCCCCCTCGAGGATGGAGCAGAAAGTGCTCTGGGGAGCCCAAAGCCTCAGGCCCCAGGAGCAGCCAGTCACCTGAAACCTGTGCCCTGCCCTCCCCTTGCCCAGCTAGCTTCCCCTCCCAGCCCTCTCATCGCAGGCTAAGCCAGTACAGAAGGGCTCAGCTCCACCCTGGGCACCCGGACCTCACCTCTGCCTTCGTTCCACACCTCTCCCTCACTTGACCACCTAGCCTACTCTCCCCTCCCTCCCAGGATGTAGCTTCTCTCCTCCCCCCACGGGGCAGCCTCCTGCAGGTCCCGGCACTGCCTCCCTGCCTCCTCACTGGACAACTGGGGACAGCTGGCCTGCACCTCTCCCAGCGCGGGCACCAAGCACGCCACTTCCTTCCCGGCCTCCGTGACTGCACCTGGGGCAGCTGGTGACAACCACCCAGCCCAGTGTCTGCCACGTAGCCGCCCTTTAGTGCATCTGTGGAGACAGGAGGCTGGCAGGAAGAGGCCTCTCAGAGACCGTGGCGCGACAGAACGTCCTCCCCAAGTCTCCCTCTCCCCGCTTTGACTTCTGGCTCTAACACCCTCACCCCTCCTGGGTCAGGACTGAAGTTCATACTCCCAGAGGGTGCGCCGGGCCCGCCGGGATAGAGAGGGCACATCAGTTCCCAGATCACTACCCCCAGGTGCAGAGCAGGTAAATGACGCCCTAAGTCACACAACCGGTGGAGGAGGGGGGCACACCCTGAGCTCCCACCGCCCCGCCTTCCCATTACTGTCCAATGGAAGGGAGACCCCCCGCCGCAGGTCCCCAATGCCCCTCCTCTTGCCTTCTGCCGGACAAAGCGCGGCCGGGGTGCCTCCGTTCCCCCACGAGGAACGTTACCCGGGCCCGCTACCTGGTTACCGCGGCCGCGAGCGCTCTCTCCCCGGACCCGACTGGAGATGCGGGGTCGGTGGCCCGGGCCGGTCGCGCTGCCGCCAGAGGCACTGACTGTACGGCGCGAGCACTGCTGGCCCGGGCAGCCGGGCGCGGCCTGAAATAGTCCCAGGCCCCGCCCGCTGGCCCGCCCGCAGCCACCGCGGAAAACCCGCGGGCGGCGGCCAAGCCAGTCACCACGCGAGAGCCCGGAGGGAGATGGGCCACGGGGTCACTACCTCCCCAGCACGGGCGGGGGCTGAGGGCAGAGAGTGCCGGCCAAGCGCCGCATAGGGAAGTGGAGCGGGGTGGGGTGGGGGCGGCACCCCGAGATCAAGGTCACCCTGGGCCATTGTTCGACAACAGATCTGATTGGCTGCTCAGGAGGAACCCCGACGACCCCCCAGTACTCTTTGCCTCTTCACAGGGTGCTTGCCCATTGGGGCTAGGGGGCGACGAGGTTGGGATGTGAGCATCTCACCCCCTATGGGGTGCAGGGGACCGTCCCACCCTAACCTCCTCACAGGCCCGCGGCACCTTGGTAGGTGTATGGAGCATGAAGGTGGGCTTCCTGGAGGAGGCGGCCAGGGGACGGGCCTCCGTAGGGTCTGGACCAAGCACTGTAGCCAGCGGTGCTGTGCTGACGTTTTGTACAGGGGACATCATCGAGTCCAGTGGACCTAAAGAAACTAAGGCTCAGGGAGCTGAAGTGACCCCAGGGGTGGTAGCTGGGACTTCACCTTGGGCCTACAAGTGGTCCACTGAGCACTGCCCATTTCTGGGGAGGCACTCTGGGCCAGGGCAGACTCCTCAGGTGGCAGACCACAAAGGGTTCTAGCTTAGCCAGCTGTGTGTGTGTCCACTCTACTACCCTTGAGTAGGCCACAACCTTTTCTGGGCCTCAGTTTCCCATCTCAGCCCGTTCCCCTGACCACTAACAACACCCCCTTCCCCAGTCCCCTGCCCAGAGATTTCTGCCCAGGGAGGGGCGGATCAGGGAGCATCCATCCAGGAATTGCCCAGGGAGCAGCCATCCAGGATGGCTCCACCAGCTGCCTTCTCACAAGGGCCACCTCCGCCCTTGTCTGCTCCCCCTCTCACGCCCCACCCCACCCCCATCATCCTGGCCACAAGTCTCAATGAGGCAGGACTGAGAGGGTGGGAGGCAGAGAAGTTTGGGGGACTAAGAACTTCCTCTTCCTCCTAGGGAGGGGTGGCCCAGCGCCAGGATTGAGTCTGCAAGGGGGGGAGAGGGGGCTTCCATGCCATCCCTGGGGCCTTGAGCCAGGGAGGAAGCAGTAAGACAGACCCTATCACCCCTCCTAAGACTCCCCTGGGGAGACAACCACCCCCAGCCCCAAATCAGCCAGCCAGGAAGGCCAGCTGCCTGCTCTCAGGCATACATGGAGAGAGTGAGGCCTGACCTCAGTTCACCCAGCCTACTGTGTAGACTCGGGGGGCCTGGCGGGCTGCCTCTGTGGTCTCTGCTGGGGGGGGTGGGGGGGTTGCATTGTGCAATCCCCACCTGGCACCCTGCCAGCAGCCCCAGCTCCACACTCAGCTTCAATTGGGAAATTGCAGTGGAACCCTAGTTTGCCGGACCTGGGGGGAAGGGAGAGGTCTGCCAACAATCACCCCTGTACAGCTGGGCAGGTGGGAGGCTTCTCAGGACAGACACTGGGCCACAAGCCTGTCCCCCACTGGAGGGAGATGGTAGAGGTGATATGCTGAGACCAGAGGCTGGGGCTAGCGGGAGGGAGGTTGGAAAAAGCAGATGTTCCCATACCTGGTGTGGCTGCGCCAGCCACTTCCCCTCTCTGGGCACCAGGCATCGAACGAAGTCCCAAGCCCCGGTGTGACACAAAGAGCCAATTCAACAAGAGGATATCTTGTGTCCTCTGCACAGCCAGTGGGGTCAGCCGGGCCATTGCCAGTCCACAGTCTCCAGATCCTGGGACGATGTAGGGGAAGCAAAGGCCAATTTTGGTGTTGGAGAAGAATCCTGAAAGTACCATGGACTGCCAAAAGAACAAAGAGATCTGCTTCGGAAGAAATATGGTCAGAATGCCCCTTAGCAGGAGGAGAAGGAGACTTCATTTCATATAGTTTGGACGTCCTACCGGGAGAGACCAGGCTCTGGAAAAGGGCGTCATGCTTGGTAACATAAAGGGGCTGCGACAAAGAGGAAGACCCTCAATGAGATGGATGGGCACAGCGGCCATCACCAGCAACTCAAACATAACAATTGTGAGGATGGCTCAGGCCCGCCCGGGCAGTAGTTGGTTCTGTCGTTGGACATCTGGTCCCTGTGAGTCGGAATGGACTCACCTAACAACAAAGGCCAGCCGAGAAATCTATGCCAGCAAGAAATGAACTTCAGGTGCACAACCACAGTGTCCCAGCCACAGCCTGCCTGCCCTCCGGAACTGGCAGCTCCAGCAGCCGGGGAGAAAACAGGCAGGAGTAACCTCCACCCCCCACCCCA